CCCCAAAACCCCAAAACCCCAAAACCCCATACATCAATATTTGCAATAAATATTTAATTAATCAGTATCTTTTGAATAAAACATATTGTTAATATTTATAGCTTGAGTTATTCAAAAATTACTATTTTTATAATCATCTTCATCTTAGGAAATAATTGAATTAGATAAAAGCTCCCAATATTATTTAGAATCGTGAAGCTCCTAGTTTTTATTAGGCTACAAGCTTCTATTTGAGGCATTTTAGAAATGTGAAAGAATTTGACCAATCACAAAATTTGAGTCTATCTTAAATTTATCTATGAGAACTTCCCTCCCAAATTGGTAATTACTCTTTAAATTACTCTCTAATAGTTCCTTAATTTCTTTCAAGTCCTTGTTCACATTTTCATCGATTTAACATGATTCTACTAATACTTTGTTATATTGCCAAGTTCCTAAGGATACATTATATTCAAATAGTATGCTTACTGAACCTTTTGAGATAGTTTATCGTCTAAATCTTAATTTCATCTAGTCTGCTAATTTATACTCTGTAATTTTCCACAGTGCTATGAATCTTGGTTATATGTATTGTATACTAATCCATCATTAACTATTCGTACTATTGCTAATAAGTATCGAGAAATTCTCTAAGTTTCTTGAACTCATCACCCAGACTTTACTACTGATTCTAGTGTTATTACTTTAGTTTCTTATCTTCTTCTAAAAGGGACTAAATCTTTGCCCCTAGATTTTTAACCTTCAATTCCACAAGATGTTGAAGTTGATATAATTGATTCTGTTTTGCTTATTTCACTATCATTAAATAAAAAAATCTAAATTACTTACATGATTTATCACCTTGCATCATATGGTGCGATTAGTGATCAAATATGCACTCAGAGCATAAAGCCTTAAAACAATCAAAACAATAAAATCGAAGTTTTTCATCTTTGTGAATAGAACAAACGTAGCTCTATTCTTCTATAATTTATTCTATTGTTTTTATTTCCCTTATTGGTACATTGTGTTTCTTTTGCATATATTTTTAATATTTAGCTTGATCTAAACTTTATATTATATTCTGTGGCGTTGTTTGGATTCTAGAAGCGAAAGTCTATATCTTTTCAGGTAGAGTTAGAAATTATGAAACTTCATCACTTTTAGTTGATTTTTCATCTGCATTGTCAATATCTTCTTCATTTTCTTCCTCTAGGGCTTCTCGAGTTTAATTATTCAATCAAGTATGCTATTCAAGTTCATCATCCTCATTCTCAATTGTATTTAAATAAAGAATGTGAGGAAAGGTGCCCAAGCTATTTTTCATAAGTTTTTTCTTAGTTTTTTTCTTCACACTCTTTTCATCAATTATGAACCTTACATTTTTAACGTATTTTTTACCTATCATTTTCTAAAGAATTTGCTTCTCATTATCATGTCTATTGAGCTCTATTTATTTAATTCCAGGAATTTTTGCCTTTGGTCAGTTTTATTAATCTACTAGGGGTTTATAGTCAATATATAAAGGACTTTTGCTTATTTGCTCCATCATATAAGTATTCAGAAGAAATCTAGATGTTTCATAAGAGGATAAAGCACCATCAATTTTGCATCTGTAATCTCAATCTTCTCTTTTAAGTAAATTTACGCACATTCTGCAAACTTTAATTAATAAAGCAAATTATTTCTTACTAGTGTGATTGCAATCTAAATAATGAGGATATCTCTTAGTATGATAGCAACTCAAAAACTCTTCACAGATTTAGCATTTAAAATAATCGTCTAACTCCATTAAACTTAAATTGATTTAAAACTTAAATTTTATGTTTATATCGAGGGTTAATATTTAAACTTATTAAATCAAGAGCAATTTAGTTATAATATGATAGATCAATAATCTCAATAACTTCAAATTATTGAAGTCAAAAGCATAACTATCTTAGCTCTAATTTTCAACTATCAAAGAAACTCTTTTAATCTTTTACCAATTATTTTGTCTCTTCTGGGTTAATCTCATCATAATCAAGGCTTCCATACTTTTAATCTCTCTAGACACTTTGAAGACTAGCACTTTCACTCAATTTAATCAATACTTAGGGTTAAACTTCAAGATGATGGGTCTACCTTCCACCAAAGTATTTTTTAAGGTAATTTTGATCAAAATTTCTCAGTGCTCTGTATGCTTGGGCTTTGTCAAGATTATTGTTTTCAGGTTATAAATCCAATGGTTCTATGATCTGTGAATGTATTCTCCTTAGGGGATAACGAGGCTATCTTTCTGGTTCCTCAAGAGAAAGTAAATTTTCATGCATTAATTTATCATCAAAAGTTTCAACTGATGGATTTCTAAATCTCTTAAGAATTTTCTTGTTTTAATTCTCTTTTTCAACAGAAATTCCTAAAAGCTTGGCAAATACAGACATCAAGCTTCCAAAAAAGAGTGTTGATATTAGAACTATCATTAATGTATTTTATCTGATTAAATAAGCTTATCTTGAAATAGATCTATCAATTCTGAAAGTCAAGGCATAAGCTATAGCTCCCCTAATCAAACCTCCATACCATATAAAAACAGCTGTTTTGAAATTAACAGAATAATTTAAAATCCACAGCAGTGATAATGGTATAAATACTGATAAAAATCTTGCAACAAGAGTAATTAGTAGCAACTCGAGAATAAATTAAAATGAACAATTGTCATTTGATATTGAAATTACTGAGAACCCAAGATAAGCAAAGAGAAAAGCTTCACAGCAACTTGATATAGTCTAAATAGCAAGCACCCCACCGCTTTAACTCTCTTTACTGAGATTATAGTAAGTATAGTGATTCATTGTGAACCCACAACAAAAAAGTGTCATAATTCCAGAAAAATTCAAGATTTCAGAGATTATGTAAGACAAGTAAGCTAGCATAAATATCATGATAATCTCTCTGATTGGATGATCTTTTAGATTGACTAGTCTCTTTGTGATGTAAGCTGATAAAAGACCAATTATTATTCCGATCATAATGCTTGCTATAGATAAATAACAGAATCTTAGAATTGCTAATCCAATATCATGCCCAGAAATAGATATATCTTCTTGTTATCTCCTAGTTCTATAACCAAATTATCTCTATATTGTCTCAAAAATTAATATTGACACCGCGTCATTCACGATTCCTTCACCAAATAGTATAGCGTTTAATTATGGAAAGTCTTTCTCTTTTAATATAGTCAGAGCAGCAACTGTGTCAGTGGCACAAAGGACTGCTGCCAAAACAATACACTCAACATTCGATAATCTTTAATCATTCGGAAGAGAACCGAACTCCCAATCATTCATCCAAATAATCAAGACTGAAAATATTGTCATTGAAATAAAGGTGCCAATTATTCCAAGCATCAATATAAACGGAATGTTCGAAATGAAATTTTGACGTCTTAATGTATACCCAGCTGCAAATATGATGGGAGGCAAAATGAAGTAGAAAAAACTACTCTCGCTAAATGGAATGACGTGTCCGCTCGTCTAAATTGTAATAATTAAGCATAATCATAAAATAATATTGTTATACATAGTAACTTATCAGTCCGAATAAACCACCAAGTAAAATTGCCACACCCGATTCATGCAAAAAAGCAACCTTAGAAATAATATTAAGAGTATTGTATTATAAATACCTTTTTAACATCTAAGAAGTGAGAGACAAAAAGGTATATTATGATTATAATGAGGGTTATAAGCAGCTCAAATTATATTGCTTCATCACCCTTAGCTTCTGAGTTTGATTATGTCATTTAATTATTAAAACTAGTGATTCTATTACTTAATTTACAACAAATTAAGGACTAAGGGGTTTTGGGGTTTTGGGGTTTTGGGG